TATTATGGGACTCGTGTCTTTGTTTTACTCTGCTGTCTGGTGTCCACTATGTGAGGTCACAGTGTAGGAGATGGAAAAGCCTTACTGTATGATGTCATCACCCATCTCCAGAGCTCATTGACCCCACAGTGTGCTTTCCAGAGCTCCAGCTCAGGTCCAGAGCTGCAGGCAGTGTGCTCTGTCTTGTGATGGCAGTGTTCATGGGGAGACTTAGGCAGTGTCTGAAGAGGAACCCCTGAGCCCCATTAGTGGCCCCAGTGCAGGCCTTTGCAGCTTGCAGTTTATCCTTTTGGTGGTGTATGTGGCTCTAGCTGTCGGGAAAGAACTTAGGCCCCACTGTGCTGGCTTCTCCTGCTTGTGCTCTCTGTTGTTAGTCAGATGCAGAGCTCTTGGCCAGGTCTCCAGGCTGGTGGAGATGCCAGGCTATGAGCAAGGTACCTTCGTCAATTAGAACTGAATGCTTAGTGTGTGACTGGGTGCCCACTGGTGCAGACAGAGCAGGTTGGGCCACCTGAGGTGTGTGGTCACTCTGCCCAGACCCTCATAGGACACGTCGGTGTGTGTCATCGGGTAGGGGTCAGGGAAGGTCTTAGGTCGTTGGGTCAGGGTCAGGGAAGGTCTTGGGTCATCAGGTAAGGGTCTGAGAATGTCTTAGGATGCAGTGCAGTCTTCAGAGAGGCTTTGGCGGCCTCTGAAGTCTCCACTCAGCCCATCCCTGCCCTAAGCAGCTGTGGGGAGACAGAGATCATGACCAAGATATCCTGATGACTCAGGCCCCTCAGTTCCTCTCCTTGGCCCCACTGTCATGTGAGGCTCTTCCTGAAAGAAGCTGTTCATAGTCATCACAAGCGGTGGTCGCTGTTTTCTTTTAGTACGTTTTCCTTTTTGCTGTCAGCTTGAAAATATTAGCTGCTTAACTCAGCTTCACGAGAATATAGTTAGAGCAGCCTCGGTGTGAAGAGCTCAGGGGTGCAATAAGATAAAACTGCCCGAAGTGTGACATCATCACAGTCTGAGTGGAAGGCAAGCTAAGGGCAGATGGGCCTCCCGAAACTGTCTGGCCTGCAGTGACCTGTTACTCTCTCAGTGGCCCCGTGAACACTCACACCTGTTACCCAGCCCACAGTGTGTCTGCACCACCCAACCTGGCTAAATGTGGCCAGCCTTGTGTGTTTGAAGTGGCCTTGTGTTGTGTAGCCTGTATTTTGATGAGAATACATCTCAAGAGGAAATCCTTGTGAGGCAACTTCAGCATCACCAACACCTCGGTGACTTCCACAGGTCTGAATGCTTGGATGCCCTGGTGTCAGGAGTTGTGAGCACAGATGCACACAGCTGCTGCTGTATGACAGGCACACTGCTGTCCTGAGCACATGGTTCACGCCAGTATTTGTGTAACAGCGTGAGCCACAAAGCCAATGACTGTTAGCCCAGGCCCGCTGCCATCAGGGATTATGTGTGTGTGGTTGTCTACACTATGGTGTGTGTAAATGGCCACACAGTGGGTGTGTTCAGCC